TATATATATATATAATATCTCTCTCTCTCTCTCTCTCTTTCCACATATATGTCCATACCAATATCTCGATAAATCTACGTACTACATGCACATCTGTACCTTGGCACCCTAAAACCTAAGCATGCGTAACTAGTGGTGGTCAGGCTCGGGCATGCCTACACCATGGGCATGGGCGAAGGCTCGTCGATGCAGGATGGATAGGTAGAAGCCGTCGAGTCTCCTTCTCTAGGAGATTAAGGAGTAAGGAATGACAAAAGAGCCCCTGAATAATAGACCAAGTACATATGTTGATCATAAGGATCCCGAAGAAGGGAGGCCGCATGTACGCAGATATTTAATGCGGTGGTATGTCAGACTAAAGAACCTGTCATTATGATTGTGTTTCAACCGCTGCTCACAAACGTATAGAAGGGTTTGCCGGACTTCGTGCAGCTACATCCTGCCGTCACATAGTCCGTGTGCAGTGGTGCTATAGCTTCCGGGCGAGGGGTTTACATAGCGTGCAGGGTTCGGGCGTTCAGAGGGGGTTCAGGAGTTCAGGAAGACAGTGGAACCCATGTTTGGGGTGCAAACGGATGGCGAGAACCGTGCTGAACAAACGCCAACAGTTCAACAGGTTTAGCTAAGTAGGTGAATTCGAGAAATTTCAAATCAGCACGCAGTGCGGATCGCAATCCGAATGCTAACAAGACGGTATTTGTCTTTCGTACCAGCAGATGTCATTGTCGTCGCGATTATGTTGTAATCACCTCTGCTACCTTGGTCCATTTTGTCCTTACTGCCAGTCGATGGTTGATATCATGTTGTCATCGTCATCATCGCCATCACCATCATCACCATCAGCACCATCATCACCATCACCACCATCACGACCATCACCACCATCACCGCCATCACCATCACCACCATCGCCATCGTCATCATCATCATCATCATCATCATCACCACCGGCGTATGGTCCTATGGTCAGATATTGCAATGCCGTCGGTGCGATACCTGAGCTCGCGACAGGATATGACTCACATCTCCGGTGGCCTGGCTAGTTTGGAGCGCTCCGTTCGTAGGAGGGCTCCTTACATCGAACGCCTCAAACAGGCTAGCGGTTAGCGGCCCTGTCTAAGTGGGTTTTTCAGATGCAGGCGACGCCAGGCCCTTCCCTACATATCATGGGATCCGTATCACTGAACTCTTCTTCAGACGAAGTCGAAGGTTACGGTTTTGCATTTTGAGTTGGGGGCCGTCGGGCTTCGGCAGCAGTTTCCTGCAAACTTCCCAGACGTCGTAGAACTCCAAACCCTAGACCCAGGTATAGTTCTTTGAAGGAACCCAAGCAAATCCCTCTAAAGGACTCAAAAAGTAGCCCAGGAAGCCCCCCCATTCCAATTGCCAGGATGCCTAACCCGCATCAGTCCATTGAGTTTGCCGTGCCAATGGATGCGAGGACTTGTGGGAGGTTTAGGGGAGTTTTTCGTTTAGAGCTCAGGGTTTAGGGGTGTTCCGTCTAGAGCTTGGGGTTTAGGGGTTTAGGGTCAGTGTTTAAGTTTAGGATTTCAAGGTATAAGTGCAGGGTGCATAGGGTCAAAAGGCACAGGACCCTTACACTGTGCCCTGCACCCTAAGACCTAGACCCCATTCGGGGTTTGGGAGCTAAGCTATGAACACTTGGAGGTTCATGGATACTTATAAGTATGGCTATAAGTCCCCCCAATATGGGTTATAATTATAGTTACCCTACTTATAACCCCATTTATAACCACCCATGAACGTCCAAGCAAGAGCAGTCGCAGCAGGAATGACTATGCTGCCGATCCCTTTCTGTCGCCTGGCTACAAATACGATCGAGCCCTCAACAAAGATATGGGGGTTTCCGAAAATAGGGGACCCTAATATATTACACCCTAAATAGTAGGATCCTTATTATAAGGGCCCCAGAATAAGGTACCCCCTATTTTCGGAAACCCCCATGTTTCATCACTTCCTGAGCGAACATCGCCATGCAACTAAGGGGCGGCGGCGCTGACTACAACGCACGTGGCCCAAGGGGTCTAAGGCGCATCTTCCAGTGCACAGCCTTGCTTTGCACCAAGGCCGAGCAAGTGTATCCTGGCAGCAATTGTCCAGGTTGTGGGGTTTAAGGGCCGATAGCCTCAGGAGTCTGTTGATGCTGCGCGGTACAGTTGCTTTTCTGCTCATGCCCTGATGAAAGGCCTGGCGAATCGGAAGGCTTGAGGCCGGACGTTGATCTGATTTGAATGAGTTCTCGGTAGCCTGAGCAGATTTACCTGCGGCTGTCGTCAGGAATGCAGGCAATCCTGATCCGTTCATGCATTGGGCTCAGCCACTTCTGCACGTGAGGGTTCTATGACCAACTTGAAGTAGACGTCACTGTCAAGCCACAAACCCTAAACCCAATCTCCTGAAGCTACCCGAGAGCCTTCAAACCCAAATCCTGAACCCTAAAGCTTGAACCTTTTTTTAAAGCTACCCATGAAGCTTCAAAGCAGTCGCTCTTGACCCAGGTCCATGGAGTTCCATCCTCAGAGACCAGACATGGGCCGCGCACTCAGGGTTTAGAGGTTAAGGGCTTATACTCTCCTAAGGTCGCCAATCATTGGGTTTAGGGGTATACGTCGTCGAGATTTAGGGTCGGCTCGGTTTCAGGGCTTCTTTGGCTGAAACGTTAGTTATGGGGTTCAGCGGTTTAATAAGGCTGAAGGGTCCGTGCCATGTGAAGATTAGAAGGCCAAAGGGGTAAGGAGTAGGGGCGAGTGGTTAAGGGTCTACTTGGAGGTTCATGGGTAGTTATAATTGGAGTTATAAGTCCCCTAACCTGGGTTATAATTAGAGTTACCCTGCTTAGAACCCTACTTATAACTACCCATGAACCTCCAAGTAGGGGCGAGTGCTTAAGGGTCTAGGGGTTTGCAGACTCTTGAGAGGGGCTGGCACTGGCTTGGAGTAGAAGGGCATGCAGCGTCTTGTATTCCAGGCGGTGACTATCGACCAGAAGGAGTGCAGTGGCCTCAGGAGCCTTGAAATGATGACTGCGTATACATGCATACAGGCACACACACACACACGTCCGCGGCAGACACATATGGCTTCCTGTTTTTGGCGCATGATGATCCTTCTGCTAGCAGTACGATGATAATCGCTACTACCGGCCCTAATATCCATTCCCTTCTGGACCCCAACTGCCATCACGATGGGCAGTTGATTAATCTTGCTTTAATGATCAGGGGATACACAAAGCCTTCATACTCCTTTTCAGAACTCGTATACTAGTATATAAAATTCCTTACACAGGAACCCTAGCCGCGACAGCTTCAACCCCGAGGTTCACGCCCGGGGGCACCAACGTCGCTGACGAGCCGGAGTCTGGCAGCTCAGTGATTCCACCCTGTGTTTAGGGGTTTAGGGTTTAGGGTTTAGGGAGATAAGCCCCGAACCCTAAAGACCCAGCTCCCTAACCCCTTAAAGCACTAAGCTCCGGAACCATCAGTCCTAAATCATAAACCCCAAGAGACCTGAGGTTGATGGGACTCCCTGGACAGGATCCTATGCTCGCACCCAGGCCGCTGTCGGTAAGTCGGGTGATGAGGTGTCCTTGCTTGGAGGCGGAAGTAGGTTTTAAGTAGGGTTATAAGGACCCTAATTGGGGATTCGCCTACTTTCAACCCCACTTGCAACCTACGTCACCTGAGTCTCCAAAAAGAAGTACCAACACTCATGTCTCGAAGGACATTCGGCGCCCCAACGGCTTCGAATACCTTCTCCTCATTCATCAAGAAGGACGGCTTCGTGAGATGACTGCAGCCTTAGGTGTGTTGACCCTTGAAGTCTAGAATCCGAGACCTTAAACGCTTTCTGTGGCCCTGAGCCGGCAAACCTCCATCTGTCTGCAGAGGACTGGAACATGGATGACACTCGGTCGGCAGCAAGGTAAAGCCGCTTCTTAACGAGGGCCGAGGGAGGTGTTGTGGAGGTTTCGAGGTGCATAACTTGTAGGGTCTGAATAGGGCTCACAGGGGGTTGCGTTTGAGGGAGGGTTCAGGCTTTTTTGGGTTTTGGGGCGTGTTAAGGGTTTCGGTTTGGAGGGTTGTCAGCTGTTTTTTTCCGACGTGTTGTCGGGTCCTTTAGGTGCAGGTCGCCTTGCATCTTGCCCCCAAGCTGCAGCCGAGGACAAGTACATTCCAGTCAAGTCAGAGCCTTACTGACAGTTACAGTGACAGTGTCACTGAGCAGCCCGAGTCATCGGAGATAGACTTCACTCGCAGCTATGATGATGCCCACACGAGGAACGACATCAAATTGGTAGTTGCAACAATACTATTCATCTGTTTTTTGAAGCAAAGAGTGTGCAGAAGCCGGTGCAGAGAAGCTGTCCTCCGCCAAGTGCAAACGACAAGATGAAGTGGGACAACCCTCACCACGAATCCATCTCTGGGTCACCGCCTCAGACATTCGTCGCAAGATGCAGAGCGTGGCGCACGAAAGCATTTTCGAGCCAACATATGACCCCAAGACTTTGTGCAGCGGAGCCTCTGGCAGGCATCCAATTCCCGTGCTACCAGTTGCAGCGGAGGCCGTGCAATGGAAGCCCTGTCTGATCGTGAAATGGTTAAAAAAGGGAAAGGGATGCACTACCGTTCCACGATAGCAGCCTGTGAATAGGTGCATCAAGCAAACCTTGCTTTGGTCTTCTGTCTGAGAGCCAGGCCCCTGACCACAGTGAGTTTCATAATTACGGCAGCGCAAGCTGAGAATATTAATGCTAGTAATGATAGGAATAGCAGAAGCAATAGTAACAGTAGCAACAGCAACAAAACACGGTACCAGTACGTGTGGTCATAATGCCAGTATGAATTCAGCACCAACACGAATAACCAAAAATAACTACTCTGAGCGGACATCGTGTGACATGTCCCGATGACTCTTGGATTCTAGATAGCATATTATGCTGTTCACTGACTAGAGACATGCCTTTGAGCCAGGAGCAGCGAGGTGAGTGCTCGTTGATGTGAGCGCAACACTGGACGTTTTGAAACTATCGGCGACAGACTCGGAGACTTGAAGGTTTAGGGGCTCGGAGTTTTAGGATGTGAGGGCTTAGGGTTTGGGGGCAAGGATTAGGGGTCTCGGGGTTAGGGATTCGGGATCAACGTTTTTGGGCCCGGGGTTCAGGGGGTTTAGGATTCAGTGATGCTCGGTAAGGAGGCCTCAAATGATGAGTCTCTGGGGACTGCGGCTGAGCTGTGGTCATCGCCCCTTGTGCCTAAGAAAATCAGAGGTCGGAACAGAGTGTTGAGGGTTTACGGTTTAGGTCTCTTCATTCATACTCATGTCGTTTGTGTTGGAAACATGCAGCTGTCAGGTCTGTTCGTTTCTGTTCTGACTTCAAGCTTCATGCGAAACTTGCGCCTCGTCAGTCAAGACCGTTTGAGGCGCTCGCGCATGCTTGATTCACTTCAGTTTTCCAAGATGGAGCTTTCAGAAGATTCGATCTTGCTATGTACTTTGGTCCAGATCGGAGTTGCCTATCTTCTGAAACTCGCCGATGACATCCGAAAGTTTCATCCACGAGAGAAGATTGTGGAGCTCACGCAAAGATTCATGAGCTCCGGTTGGCACCAAGCCACGTGCGACAGGAAAAGAGAGGACATCCATCCATTGTACATTAACGGTGACGAAAGGCAATGTGTCTGACCAATGCAGAAACTCAGCCCCATGTTCACTTGATTTTTCTATTCACTTCTCCATCCACATGGCCAGTGGCCAGTGACATCAAGTCATGATGCATGCTGGATCCGACCACTTGCCCAGGGGAATGTGTTGCGTCGAATGTGTGATGAGTAACATCGCGTGAACACTTCAGGCAAGTCTACACTGAGACCTGGTCAGACCAAGATGACAACAAGGCACCAACCCTTCAGGATCATTTCGACCCCAAACTCAGTCGCGTCATTAACGGGCAGGGCAAGCATGGATCCTTGAGTAGGCTGGAAAGTTGACTGGATTGCCCAGTCAGAGCCATGATGTGGAGTCTTTTGTGGCTGAGTCACGCAGCTTGGACAGCAGTCGCAGCAGTTGGTCCAAGGGTTTCCTGTGATTAGATCCGTCGCACTGGCTACATGCCAGCAGAGCACAATTAGTCCTTACAGAGACCTGTTGACTCGTGTCTCAACATGCCCCCCGCGAAAGCCTCAAAATTCCCAATTGTTTGGCGCTCAGGACTTGAAAAAATCCTATATGATTATCATAAGTTTTTGAGATCCGGGTCCAAAGCTGGGGCAACCCCCGGTGCCAATTTTGTGGTTCGTTGAAACCCAGTGTCAAGAATGCGGTTTTAGGATTTGCGGCAAGGCCCTGAAACTCACCTTGAAGCTCCAAGCACCCAGGTGGTACACGTACCGCCCTGTGAGGCACCGTCAAGCCAGCCTTGAGGGAGGGCCGGGTAGAGAAAGGCATGAGTGGCGATCAGGTCAAAGGTTGATTTGAGCCAAGACCCCGTGAACCTTGGCCCCTAAAGCCCTAAAACCCGAAACTCACTCCCCCAAGTAGCCACCCAACGACCTGAGCGTGGCAGCTGTAGTTGCCAGGCATCCGCGTGGAAGCTCGCCTCACGATCCACCGGCAAGGCAGGGTTTTGCATGGTTTTGCACTTGGGCATTCGAGTTGTGCTGACTTTGGATGGGGATGAGAGCTTTGGAGTTTGAGTGATTGGAGTATTGGGGTTTGAGGGTCGCATGTCTATGGTAACCGACCCCCGACCTATTTTACGGAAGGTCGTGCAAGGCCCAAGTACCAAGTGGACCAAGATTCGTCTTCCCACAAGTGGATGCAGAAGAAACTTTGGTTTAGGGTCCAGCTTGAATCACCGTTGCTCCCCAGAAAAGTTTCGTCAGTAGTTGGGCAAAGGGATCTCAGAAGTGAGGGTTCCTGCAATCCCCCTTGCCATTGCGTTTCTACCAATTATGCTATCAGTGTAGCCTTAATTGCCTTATGGCGTGTGGTGTGTGGCATTGCTGGCCTTGCCTCAATGGTGCCTCATTCGAGCTTGGTGGGTGGAGTGTCACCCTGCCCCCCGAAAAGGCAAGACCTCTAGGACATTGAAAGCTCGTAAAGCCTTAGGACTGCCTCCTGGACGTGGGCGCGCTGGTCCAGGCAAGCTCTGATTGAGGTGAATGACCGCCTTTCGGCGACTTCGGGAAGTTTCCCTGAACAGTTTTTGACATCTTTTCTTTCCATGCTTTAAGCTTTAAGCAGTAGTGACGGCGGTCAGCCTGGGTCAGGACTGTTGCATTGCGGTCATTTGTGTCATCTTCATCGGTATCACTGTCTCGGTCTCCGTTTGCGCCGGCGTCTAGAGCTCCATCTTCTCGCAGCGGTCCCGCGTCAACAGTTTTACAGAGCAGGCTCCGACAGCAGAACCCGAGGCCCTGGAACTTGTTATAAAACCCCCAAAAGCACATAAGCCAAAAAGTAAGCATTTTTAATGAAGCCCAATAGGTAGGGATATCCTTGTAAAATGCTTATGTCATTTTTTGGGCCCTCGGTTTTATTACGTGTATTGCCTTTGCCAGACTTGGGACATGCCTTGGAGTCAGGAGCAGCGAGGTGAGTGCTCGCTGATGTGAGCGCAACAGCGCATGCTTTGAAACTACCGGCGATAGACCCCGAGACTTGAAGTTTAAGGGGCTTAGAGTTGTAGGATTAGTGATTCGGGATTCGCGTTTACGGCCTAAGGTTTAGGCATCAGGGTCTAGGTTTTAGGGATCCTCAGTAAAGAAGCCTTAAACGAGGAAGGGTTGAGTCTCTGGGGATTAGAGTTGAGCTGCACAGCAGAGGCTTGAGCCAAACACAGCAGAGGTCGGAACACAGATTTGTCATTAATGCTCATGTTGCCTCGTTTTTGTGTACATGCACATGTTGCAAACGCATCTTCAAGCAGGTCTGTTGCTGTTCTGACTTCAAGCTCCATGTGCAAACTTGTTTCTTCTGAATCAAGACCGTTTGAGGCGCACTCGCGCATGCATGATTCACTGCAGTTTTCCTGAGGGAGCTTTCGGTTAGGGGTCCCTGTAGGGGCCTTTCATAATGAAGACCTTTACAATGTACGCCGGTCCATTTGGGATTGCCTATTTGCTGAAACTCCCTGCATCCCAAAGAGTCGTCTCCGAGAGAAGGGCGTGGAGCTGATGCAAAGATTCATGACCAGGAGGACGTGGAGTTGCCTGTGGCCTCCGATGTCGAGACCCGCTCTCAGAATGCACATTAACAAGAAGTGAAGCGGTTTTTAGCCCAGGCACTTAGTCAGCTCAGTCGGCAACATGCCCAATGATGTAATAGGAGGGTGAAAGTTCTTGCAAGACCAGGCACACCCCGGCCTTTGCCGGCATGCCACAACCTGAGCCTGGCCATGTGAAGTGCATTTCCTATCATGCTGAACAAGGTGCGGGTTCCGGTGCGAATCGCCCTGAGACGAACACACATCTTGTTGCTTGTTTTTTCCTGCTTGCCTGAGCCATCGAAACCAAGTCTGATGGACTGTATCGCAGGAACACGTTGTTGAGATGTTCTGGCTGCCGCTAAGGCTCTCAAGCCAGTTTGATGATGGCCATCTGGCGCACATCTGTGTTCTAAGGCTCTCCAGCTTATGGTGCTGGTTGGCCGGCGAGGCCGCGCCAATGGGTCCTGCCTGATCCTCAGAAAAGTGCAATTTTAACCGCCCGCCAATGTCACTGGTTATTCACCGTGGAAGCAGCTGCTACTAGACTGACGGGAAGAGCACCTGGGGACATGTTTCCCCAATAGTATATACACGAAGCATAAGTTTCCAGCCAACGCCCCCCACCGGCTGCTCGCGAGGAGACGCTACATCTGGCCCCACTGGTGCCACCGCGGTCGCTGGTCCAGGCCGGT